AGTCACGGTGTCTTTTCGGGCTCCTGGGTGAGGGAGGAACAGCGGCGAGGCTGCTGTGGCACAGGAGGGAGGTTGCTCAGCTGCTCACATCCCACTGGCCACATCCCCAAAGTCACCGGGATGGGATACCGGAGGCTGGGGTGGTTGGGACCAGGGAGGTTGAGCCTGGGGTACACGCAGACCTTGCAGTCTCCACGCTGGGACCCACCAGATTTATCAGGTTGTGGGCCTGCAAGGTGCAAGACCTTTTTCCACCTTTGCCATTTTGCATCAAGTTTCAAACATTTTCTCAGGACCCACGCTGTGCCTCAGTTTCCCCATCTGCCGGCTGGGAGCACAACACAGCAGTTACACAGGAGAGGCCAGAGGGAGGATCAGGACATCAGACACAAGCAGCACAGTGGGGGCAGGAGCACATTATGCCTTGCTGGAAGATTGCAATCAATATTTTAGCAGTCCCCAAGGCTGGTTCGCTGTTTTTCTTGTACCTAACATCCTTCCAGCCTACTGCCTCCGTAGTTCTCCCCGTCTGCTTTGTCCTGCAAACTGCAGACATCCCCAGTCCTGGTGCTTTTTAGATAAGTTACTTGGAAAACCCAGTCCCTGGCAGTCAAAGAACCCTCCCAGCCCAGCTGCACGCTCATCCCTGGGGCTGGGTCGTGGCTCCTTGCTTAGGTCTGCAGAAAGGACCAGCCCCATGGCAATATCCGCCCCTGCACCCCCCAGCCCCATGCAGTATGATGCTTTTTGTACAGCTGGGGACAGGGGGGCTGCCAGCATCCCCTTCCCATGGCCTGTACCAGGGAGTTTCTGCCCCAGCAGCCCCAGTCTGGACACGAGGCAGGGAGAAGCTGCTGGGTGATGCTGCACACGCAAGGACAGCCAGAGCTGGGCGAGCAGCCAGCCCCTGTGAGCCACCAGCCCATTACTTACGTGGGTGGGATGCTCTGGGTGCCTCCCCAGGCATCCAGCTCCCCGAGGCTGTGTAATCCATCTCAAGGACATGCGGAGCTGCTGGTTACAGGGGTTGCTTCCAGCCAGGCAGCTGCACGGGCCAGCGAGCTCCCCATTGATTTCTGCCTGCCCTTACTCCCAGCGGAGGGAGTTTGGGAGATACTTCTGCATTGTTCCAACCTCTTGTCTCCATAATGTTTTGCCAGACAAAGTTTGCATTTAAAAAACAAACAAGCTAAAAACACCATTACTTTCAGATGTGTGGAAGCTCCCGCTGCTCCAAGGAGCAAGCAGTGGCACCACGGCAAAGAAATGATCCTGCTCCTTGACAGCCCAGCAAGCAGGGTGACAGCTTCGCTGATCACCAGTGACGAGGCTGGCCAGCAACATCTTGAATTCCTTGGGTCTGTTGCAAGCAATGGCCAAGATCCCATGGCTACACCAGTGCAGGATCAACCCAGAGAGTCCCAATGTCCCCACGATGCTCTTTGCATGATCAGCTTGCACATCTATGCTAGACCTACTGGTAAAGGAAGATGCTGGGGTCAGGACCTTCAATGGGGAGGGGTCTCACAGCTTGGGACATGGCAAAGCAGAGCTCTCCAGCTCCTCTGGGAACCCAGGAGGACCCGAGGGGACCCTGGTGATTCTGGTGGGTCCTTGTGGGTGGGAAGGGTCCTCCCAGCAGAGCTGCTGGCTGGATCGAGTCAGAGGAACATGTTCTCCAGCCAGAGGTTTAATTTGATCCCACGAAGCCCACCCTCAGAGTCATGTAACTCATGCAATCATTCTTTACCCAGACTAAACTAGTTTTTTCCCCTCGTTGCGATTTAATTATCTCCATAGGATGAAGAGATACGATTAGTTTCTGTCTTAGAGAGCCCTATGTCTGCTCATGCAGCGACTGAGAACACTAATAACTCCAACTAATTATAGAGTGAGTGATCCCTGTTAAGGAGAAGGGCAGATATGCTGGTATTATTTATGTCACCTGCTTTGCTCCACTCGATGCTCAAGCCAGCTCCACTTGCTTTTTTTAGCAAGCACATTTCATTTTTCACTCCCCACTGTCATCCCCTTCCCTGTCTCATTCAGAAACTTCTACTGCCGCCTGTCTCTCTGCTACCTGGCGATATAAATCAGCATTAATTATGCTAGCAAAATCCTCTAAATCACTCATTGTCCTCATTATTATTATTTATCTTAGCCTGAAAGTGACACATGCTAACGCAAGAAGATCTTCTGCTCCCCTAGTAAGGATTTTAATGGGCTTTCTGGCTCGGCACCCCAACTGCAACACCTTGTGCAGAGTTTCCTAATGGGGCTGTGTCTGCTTCATTCTGTGTCCCTTGGTTTGGGTCCATCAGTCCCCTGTGGGATTATTTGCAGCCTGGTCCAGCTGTGTCACTCTTGGATAGGGGCAGGATGAAGGTCTTGGGGGCACATTTCCCTGTGAGCATCAGGAATCTGCTGTATGCTGGACATGCAGTGTGGGATTGCCTTAATAAAACCTGCATCCCCACATATATGTGCAGGAAAGGCCACCCAACCAACTATTTTCTGGGATTTTCAAGGCAGTTAACCTCACAAGTGTTAAGATTTTTTTTTTCCCCCCACTGGGTTATCTCATAAACAGAAGCAGTTAAAGCTCTGCAATTCTGGGCTGTGTGTAAATAAACAAACAGCCCAGCCTCTCTCCTCCTCTGCCTCCCCTCATGAGGAAAGACAAATGTAGGAAGTAAATTCTCGCTAAAATAAGCTGGAAGCCAGCTCGTGCTCCTGGAGAGAACCCAGATCAAGTGCAGAAGCCGAGGTGGGAGCTGCTGGTTTGGAGAGGGTCCCCGAACTGCAGCTGATGGCACACAGCCTAAAAAGCCAGCTCCCTCCTCCCCTGCTGCCAGCCAAACGGCATCTCTCTGCCCCAGGACTCTGGGAATTGTATTTTCCAGCCTTCCTCCCCCGTGCCCCAGCAGCACAGCCCCAGATCCAACCTCCATCCTCCCTGGATCAATAACGCATGGGATCATCGATCCCCAAACTCGCCACTGTGGGTGGAGGTGCCACGGCCGCATCCCCAACCTCCCGCTGTGCCTGCAGTCTGTAACCTCCCACCCTCTCCTCCCGAACACCGTGTCCAACAGCCTATTAGCAGGAGAACAGCCTGTCCCCTGTCAAAACACACAAGGTGCCACGGTCCCCGCGGGAATGCCGGCGGCTGCTGACAGCGCTCTGGTGTGCCTGCTGCCCTCCCTGCTCCCCTCCCTGCCTGTGCTGGGGGACAGCAGCCCCAGGGGCTCGGCTGCTTCAGCCAGATAGCAAAATGAGCCTCCTCTTCTGAAGCCTGGGATTATTTTCAAGCATCGATGTCTCAAAATGATACCGGGAATACTTTTGTGGCTTGTTTCAGGGAAAAGAATGCAGGGAGTTGGAGGAAAGCAATGAATCTGGGTGATTTATTTCTAGCAGGCACCCCAAAGCTGCACAACTTAAAAATTTAATTTTTTTTTCAAAAAGTGCCCTTCCAACTCTCCAGAACAAACAACTCTTCTGGAGCTTAAACCACCCCTAAAAGGCAATTCCTTTCCCAAGCAGCAGATCACACCCCAATACAGGGATATTTTGGCCTGCACATTCCCGTGCCCACGCACAGGTAATCAGTAAGTCAGTGCTCATCTCCATGCTGTTGGGCACACCAGGAGGTGAAAGCCACCTTCCTAGGCAAGATTTTGGTGGGGCCACGATGGGACAAGCTCCCCCATCTGCTACACGATGAGGATCCCACTGTGCTATAGCTCAGGGATCCTCCCCATCCCTCCAGCCTCTGGACCAGACAGATGCCAGGGCAGCCCCTGCAGTTCATAACTCTTATCCTAAGGTAGGTCTGATGCCTTCTCGTGGCTCCACCTCTCCTATCCTAGTCTTAAATAGTCACTTACTGCGTCCATGCTTACTGTATTGTGGGTTAAACCTTGTTAGAGTTGAAACTCCTCCGCTGTTTTCCTCTACATGGGAGCTTTTTTGCCCAGTTTCCCTCTGGGGCGAAGCACACCAGGTTTGATCTCAACCCAAAACTGATTTCTCAACGATTCATAAAGAACCGTACCGTTCCTGTGCGTCCCTCAGCTCCCTCCAGTCGTAATTCCTGAAATCCGCAGTTCCATTTCAATCAACCTGGTTGGAAAAAAAAAGCCTCAGAAGCATTAGGAGTTCGCTGGGTTTGATGGCTGTAGGCAGCTGGATGGAGGAAAAAGGCTGTATTTCTGCCCTCACTGGGAGAGGGGCCACAGCTGGAGCCCAGCGGGGCTGTTAGATGCTGGAAAGGACACTGGGGAGAGAAATATTTGAAAGGCCCCAACCTCAGGAAATGTTTCAATCAGGGCTCACACCTTATTAGGCACGCGATAATCCAACCGCGAGACACCGAGCCGCAGGAAACCGAGCTCCATAAGCCCCACTCCTTGCGGATCAGCTCAGACCTTAAGAAAACACCACGAAAAGCCCTCCATAAACCAGAGGCTTCTGGAGCAGGCTCTTCCGAGTCCTCCTGCCATAACCGAGGTGTGCACCGGGACTGCTAGGAAATGCAAGCACCACTATTGAAACAGAGAGAGAGGCCTTAAGAGAAGACAAAGAGGATTTCCATCCAGATCTAGAGAGGATTTTAGGTGCTAGAGTCCAGTTTAATGAGACTGAGCAGCTAAAATCTTTGAGAAACTCCACCTAATTTAGAATGACTTTGTTTGAAGAACAATTCTTGCCCAGATCTTTTATTCTGATTTTATCCTATTTCTATGAAATTTGTTACAAGACCAATAAAAAAAACGTTATTTCATATCAGAGCCTCATTCCTCTACCCAGAGAAGATCGCCTTTCCTGACTTGGTAGCTACAGGACAGTAGCTAAGTAGGTTTGATTGATTTGAACTTGATTAGGGTTAAATTACTTTTTTGCCACAGTTCTATTTTGAAGCAAAATAGAAGGCAATTCAATCAGTGCAAACCATTCTATTATACATTTTTAAACACAAATAACTCTGAAAACTCAACAACAGAGGAAACCCAAACATGTTTTATTTTAAAGCAAAGCCTCTAATTACAGACCAGTTTTTAGTTAAAAATGTCTTTCCATTTTCTGTGAAAAATGGTTCTCAAGATCACTTGAATGCAGAATGAAATTAATTTCAAATTGAATAGAAGGTTCTTGGCTGGAAAATATTGTTGCTTATTTTCTAATTCATTCAAAAACATAGCAGTGCCACCAATTATTTTTCTGTGAACTGAAGGGAAACCAAATCTTCCCTTAGCCCTGCCCAGAAGTGCCAATAATCCCAAAGGCAAGGGTTGAACAACAAAGGCTAGCAAACTTTTGGGGTGGCCAAGAGGGATTTAAGTTCTACTTTTAATACGACTCATTCTTCTAGCTGCTATGAGTATATGTAAATATATTGTTTGGGGAGGGAGAGAATGCACAATGGCATTTTCATTTAATATATCACTGATCTGAGAAGGCTTACGAGTCCTGAGCTGTGACCTCCTCTGTCACACAACGCTGCAGGCGGGTCCCAGCGTTCACCAGACTGGCAGCCACAGCCAGGAATTCCCTCTGATTTCCTACTCAAGCCACTTGATTCCTCCTGCTTCCTTTATTATTACGTCTAACGATCCCTGACATGCATTTGGCAACCTCCTCAGAGATAATCAGGTTGTAGCGCTTGAGACCAGCTCCGCTCAGATAAAGAAAAAATGAGTGATAAAAGCCAGTGATGTATTTGCAGATCAGAGGCCGGGCAGGGAGAGCACGTTGTGTTTCAGACTTTTGATCAGAAGAGAACGCGCGTTCCTCGTTAGTGCTGTAAGACGGCAGTCACAAGATTTTTCTCTATCAATTGTCAAGCCGGGGTTAGAGCCGGAGCCTGCAGCCCTGTCTGCAAGCCTCAGCTCCTTCCCTGGTGTATTGTACACAGCTCCTATTTTCTACTCTCTCAGACATTTCCTAGCACAAACCATGCCAAACACATTACATCCTTGTAGACCTCGACTCTCTTGCAGCTACCCTTCAAATCACAGCCTTCCCAAGGGTTAAACCCAAAGAGTTTTCAACAGAACAGAAAACTTGGAGGGAAAGAGGGGGGGCATGACACCACCACAGCGCTTCTGGATCTGCAAAGATCTCCACTCCAAACAAACAATAAGCAAACTCTATTGATTTCATTACACCTCTGCTGCCTGACCCATTAATCATGGCTCACTGGCAAGGTGCAAGAAATTCAAGTCACACTTTGTTATATCCTGAGACATCTCTTGTGCCTGGAGATGCTCAACACCTCCCAAGCTTTTAAATGTTCTTAGCTTAATAGCAAATTCACAAAAAAACTCCAAGTGACAGGTATTTGTTCATAACCTAGTTTGAGAGTGCTCCATCCCATCTGTGTCTGGACTCAGACCTGATATTGTCCAGGAATCATTTACCTGGCTTTGGCCATCAAAGTTTGGCTGTCCCCAGCCCATGGCTGTAGGCAGTGGGAAGAGATCTGAGTAGTCAGCCTTCTCAACACCCAAAAGTGGCAGCTGGTTTGAAGGATAACCTCTGGAGGTGCTGATCACTCTCCATCATCTATGGCTGGATCACGGACTGCAGGGACCTGGTCTGTAGATGAGGAGAGCAACTTGGGGAGAATCCCGTCCCCGGGCAGGGTATCTTCCTACGTCCCTCAGCGAAGGGCTCCGGAGTTGCTCTCAGATTTTATCAACCAAAATACATTGGGACAAACAACAGGGCTGTGTGTAACAGCTTTTCCTTATAGCCCCCCAGTTACGGTCCTTTTTGGGAAGGGACCGACTTGCACTGCCACTTTTCCAGCAATATTTTCTTTCTGCAAAGAACCGGTGCCGTTTCTGTGCCCACATCTTACCCCCATGCTCTGGGATGTGACTGCCTGCCTTTCCAGGACACCAGGCAAGCTTCAGCATTTCTGCAGAGAACATTGGACCCTCTGCCCCCGACACAAGAGCAGGGCATGGGGTTATCTGCTGCTTCCCTGGTGAGTGCACAGACAGGCAATAGGCTGCCCCACATCCTTCCTGGGCTCTGGCTCTGCCCAATACCCTGTTAATGCCTAGATGTGATATAAAAAAGGGAAAAGTACAGGCAAAACTTAACCATAGTCTAACTCATGGTCATTACTCCTGGTGTCCAGCTTCCTACGCCCCTGGGTGCACAACCACACCCTGCAAAAGGATGTACATGGGTTTGGTATGGACTTGTTAGGACTGCCATAACAGAAAAGGCAGCAGATCAACAGGGAGGTACCGAGGCAGAAGAAAAGTCCACAAGGCGCGGGTCTAGCTTGCATTAAGCCCTGCCTTTGCAAAGGATTGACACGAAATCGAACGCAACTCTGGTATCCTGGATGCTCTGAGGGCAGTAAATCAAGGCTTTCTCAGTGCTGCGATGAAAACTTCATTGTAGAAAACTCCTCCACACGAAAGCACTTCGGAAACACCCGCCCCGAGCCCGCAGCGGGTCCCAGAGCTTCCAGTGGGAGAAATGGTCTGTCTTTCCCAATTTTCATCCCAAGCCTCTCTGTATGCTTTCCAATACGTGGTGCCTTTTCCTGGAAGATGGTTAGGTCAGTGGTTTTCCATATAGCTGATAATTCAGCCTCACGGGTCAACGCACAGATCTTTATCTCAGCAATGAGTTACCATCAGCCTGGCAGCTGAAGCTCTGGCTGCCCGTAATGGATGTGGCCTTAGCTGGCAGTGTCAGTTCCATCCTGCTTTCCACCCAAAGTGAATTGCAAGCACTAGTTCAAATTAAAAAAAAAAAAAAAAAAAAAAGAAAAAAAAAAAAAAGAAGAAAAAGAAAAGAAAGAAGCAAAGTGCCTTTATCCCATGGGGACTCTATCCTTTCAGGTTTTGGGTCCCCTAGTAGAAGGGGCTGGCTAACTTCAGGATCTGGCTTTTGGATTAAAAAAAAATTGCTGATAATATCTCAACTGCTACAGACTTCAAAGAAACAATTACATAAATGAGGACTAGTTGGGAGCTGAAGACATCCTGTAATGCACATTCACCAGCGCATCTCCCACTTGCTGCAGAGGAGTAGCAGGGGTGTTTTGCTTTTATTCCTCAGGCAGCAGAGAATAAATAGCACATTATGGAAACTGCTTATCATGGTTCAGGATCAGACGCTTTGCAGGAACAGATTTTTCCAGGCAAATCTCTTATATTTCCTCGTTGTCCCCCTTGTTGGAAAGCCTCTCTCTTTCTTCCATTATTTTGGAGCTTCCATTGCTTGTCTCACCCCAAACCAAACTAACAACAAATTTTGGAGCCTGATTCAAAGGTCTTCTGTGGCTCCGGGTGCAAGTTTGCCATGGCTCATCACTTAGCCCCCTTTAAATGCCCAAGGAATAAGAGGGAATCCACTGATTTTGCGACACCTGCTGTAATCCGCCCTGGAATGCTCCCAAAGAGACGCAGGAGAAATTCTTAAGATATATTTCCCTCAGACCACAATATATTCCATATGCTCCAGAAGTGGAGGAGCAGGGAACCGGTACAGAGAGCTACCTCTGGTAAATGTATCATTCCCAGCTGGGGGGACCGGCGGGCAGGGGGAGCTTATCAGTGTTTTCTCTGACTTTACAGCTGGAAGAAATTTACAGCCAAACACACACTCCTGTTGGGAAGGAGGGATAAGCCCTCCCCAAACGTGCTTACAAGCCACTGTTGTTATCGGAGGATCAGGGGCTTTGGATCACCTTTCTTGCTGGCCACCACAGGCTCCTGTGGTGTCCGCTCTTTGCAGAAATGATGTGCAAGCTTCTCCACCAAGGGGCTGGGGTGCTGCCCTTTCAGGAACATCACTCTCAGCCACCCTCCTGGAAAGCACATCGAGGAGATTTAAGTAATGCAGCCATGAGCAAGCACTTTTCTGAGGACTGCTGCCAAGGTGTGCTTTGTCCCCTCCCTCCAAAGCTCCCTCTTTGGGAAGTCCATAGCCAAAAACCATGCCTGCACACGACAAAACCACTTTCCACCCAGGAGCTCACAGGTCCCATAGCCCTGCAGGAAGCGGGGTGCATCGCTGTGGGTTTCCTCTTCGTGTGTGCTAAACACTAAACAGGCCTGAGACCCAAATGTCTTCGTGACTTGTGGCTTCCCTGGGATCTTACTGTCGGGCAGGGAGCATTCTGCATCTGTAATTCACCTCCTACTTTTACAAACTAGCAGCCACCAAGCTACAATCTCAGCTACCGAGCTACTGAGACTCATTAAAAATGCAATTTAATAGGCTTTTTTTAATTACTTACCATTCAGCAGCTTGGCTCAATCTTCAGTTTTCAGAGACATTGTTGAGCTCTCAGTCCCATCTCCTCCCATCAGGAGGCCAAACTCAGCTCTGCTCAGGTGATGGGTTTGAGCACCTGCTTCAGAGTGGCTGGGAACTGGGGGCCTAAGGAGAGCAGCGAGATAATTAAATGTTATCTGAGCAATTACTTATCCATAATTTAATTAATCTTAATTGATCATCAATTGTTATCTAATTCAAGGCAGACTAAGGAGTGCTTAAAATCTCTGCATCTAATTCCTCCTATTAGATATATGACTTTACTAAAACTGAAGAAGCAAAAGAAAAAAAAAAGCAAAAAGATTTCACATGTGCTGTTTTTCCTTCAGAAGAAATTTTTCTGCATTTAATTTTTTCCAGCTACATGAGAATACTTCATTGCTGATGAGTGACTCCAGAATGACAAACCCGGTATATACCTGCACAAAAAACCTGTTCACCATTAAACTGGGGCTTCCAACCCAGGCCATGTGAAAGCCAAATACAAAACCAAAGCATGTTCATAATAGGAGAGAAAGTCCATGAGGCAGCAGATGTAAAACTCCGGCTTTCAATAGACTAGCAAATAACCAATGAAAGAATAATGACTTGAAAGACGCCGGGCCAAGCTCTGTGCTGGCGCAGCTCCATCAAAGCTGGTGGAGATAGGCCAGCAGCGGATGTTTCCCACTTCGTCAGTTGAATGTGAAGAGTTTATTTTCCAAGCCACCCTCCTCTTACTTCAATTCCCTGTCGTTGATCGATGGGTGTCCCAAAGATGCTGAGTGGAGAAAGCTGTCTCTTACAGAACTGGTACTTCGCTGAATGAAAACAAAAGGTCTCCAGTCTGGAAATGGCAAGGAGATTTCTTCAAGCAGCTGCCAAAAAAAAAAAGATAAAAGAAAAATTATAAGCTAGAGGCTTCGCTTTCTGAGGACGCTGCCAATTTTTTAAAAGGATAATCCCAGTAGATATGGCATTATGCGACAAAAGTCCTGTTGTGGAAATACTGCCAATTTTTTAAATGTCGGCATTTAATCTCTTGGCAGTAATGTGAGTCCAACTGCGCTTTTATTTTTATTTTTTTACAGTCACTAACAACATATTTGCATACTTTACAGCAGCAACATATGGTCTGAGGAAGGTTAATTTGCTCTGCAATTAATAGCCAGCGGTACGTGAAGCTATGCATGGCTAGTAGGGACCAGACCGACAGAAAGCTGCTGATGTTGGAGCTGGAGCACGGAGAGGAGGGGAACCTTTGCCAAGCACCTGACTGCTGCAACCTGATTTTCCCTCCAGAGCAGCTGATAAAGGCAACAACAGGTTAAATGCCTTTTTTTTTTTTTTTTTTTTTTTTTTTTTTTTTGAGTCAAGACTTCTGGATTTTAACAGCCACAGCATTGGGCTATTTGCAAAAGATATTTGACTCCTCCTAGCTGAACCAGCTCCGGGGCACTCGGGCAAATAACTCACCCTTAGTTATGAGGGGCTTTAAGGAGCTGAGACCCAGACTTAGGGCAGGGCTTCCTCTGACAGCAGAGCATAAAGTCACCAAGGGGAGCAGGGATGCGCTGGTCAGAGGTGAGATGCCACGAGAGGCTGTGGGTGGAGAGCCTGGAGTGACTGTGCAAATAGCAACGGGGCACTCAGGACTAAGAATTTGCTATTATAGGTGAAATGTTCAAAGTTTGGTAATACATAGGGATACAGCACTACTTCAGGGCCATAACAACAAGGAGTGACTCAACATAGACAGACACATTTTATCTGCAATATATACCTCCAGGAAATGATAGCACATCTAATCGCAGCTGGCTCACAGCATCCCAGCACCGCTGCTCCCTCCCAGCCACTGCATGCCCAGGACAAACCCAGGCATTCATTACTGAACCCCAACCCTCCCATCTGAACAGGAGATGTTCACCTGTCACTTTATTTCTATTCAAGGCCTTTTTACAAGCAGGCAGGGCTGGCTGCTGAGAGCCAGGCTTTGAAAATGGGGGACCTCACATGGAGGGGAAGGAGTGGACAGATCCCTGCCCCTGTGCACATCCCATGTTTGCCTGGCAGCAAAGCAGCAGGAGTTGGGGAGCAAGCAAGCGGAAGGTCATCAGGGTTTGAAGACAGAGGCTCTGCAGGGGGAGAGGGATGTCACCAGTCTGCCTGGCTACAGGATTTCCTGGGTATTTTATAATGATGTGGTTGCTCAGCATTGTCTGGTTTAATGAAGCAACTCATGTCTTGTTCACTAATCATGCTGGGGAGGTGTGGGGCTGTCTCTGGCTCCTGTCTCTTGCTCTGGAAGTGGGTATTTTCCATCTTGACGTAAGGGAAATGAGGTGGGTGAGACTGCTTATGGTGCACAGCCACTCGCTGAGCCCAGGTGGTTGTGCAGGAGCACAGCAAGCAGTCCCCAGCAGACTATGAACGTCCATAGTGTCAAAATACCCAATTCACCTGAAGTAGCTGAAACTGCTCATCTGTAGTCTATCAGGAGAAAGGCTACTTCAGAGACAGGCTGACCCTGGTAAAGAATCCTTATCCACTTCATGAACCGCCTCGTGACACCAGATATTTGTGCTTTTCCTCAAGGCCCAGCTTCTGGAGCCATGCAATTACAGGGTAACAGCCTTAATTAGAAAACCAGAGCAAAGTTCTCATGGATGGGACAGGAACTCAGGGCCACCGAGGAGAGAGATAGGATGCCAACCCAGAGACAAACCTCACGAGAGATTTCCACCATCCACATCTGCTGGGAGGGAACCGAGGCAGAATAATTCCCCCAAATGCAGGTTTCATCACTTAAAAGGACCCCCTGAGTAGAAGCTAATCCAGGCCATGCTACGTAGCATGGAAAGGGTCAGCAGAGACAGGCCCCATCTGCCTGACCTCGCAGAGGGACGCGGGGAGGGGACGAGCACCCAAGGGAGCACGTCCACGTGCACAGCTGCCAACGGGAGTAGCGGCCCCGCTACTGTGCGTCTCCAAAGTGAAATGGATTAGCAGCTCACTTTCAATCAGGCTGAATTATGAGCACAGCGATTTGCTGGACATGTTACATGAACCAGAAGATGTGTTATCTGATGAAAATTGCTTAATTTAATAACCTGGCCTGACAAGCAATGAACTGTACATCTTCTGGAGAATTTGCCAGCGCAGATGATTTTACTTAGCTTGAGGGATTAAGCAATCAGGTCCCCTCTCTTCTCCCCAAAATTCAGGGCCAAAAGCAGCCCAGAGAAATGTTCAGGAGCTCACGGTGCAAGGGTTACCACCACCACAAGGAGACAAAATAAAAATGTTTTTTGTTTGTTTGTTTTGTTGTTGTTTTTTCTCCATCAGAAAACATTACAGAATTACATGCCCTTTGTGACACTTCCCAGGAAGGGACTTTTTTGGGAAGGGGAAATGGCAGTGCCAGTAAGCAGAGCAGATCCAGCTCTCTGAGCTGCCTGGAGGACACAGCACATGTCCCCTGCTCTCTGAAGACCAGGCTTCACAGCCTTGGGATTAAAATCCCCGTCACATTGCTCTCACAGATGGAAACCCACCTGGGAGCTGCCTATGGGGTGGACCAGAGCTGAAATGGGCAGTTCAGGCCCACTCTCAGCCTCTTTGAGCTTTTGTCTTCCAGCAAGCACTTATTAATCTGTCTTGGCACAGAAACGAACAGGCTTAAGGTTGGTCCTCAAAGCAGGCATAAGCTCTCCTTACCTTTCGATAAGGATCTGGCCAGTGATTAATTTCTCAGTGGAGTTCTCCAGCAGAGCCAGGCTTTCCCACTTGGTCTGTGAGTAGCAAGCCCAAGGCTTGTGCTTGCTTTCACAATGAGGCTCCTTCAGGCTGTTCCATAGCTGGGGAATCCATGAGTAGGTTTGAAACAATTGCAGAATTGCTCAAAAGCCTGCAAATTCACGGAGAAACAAAAGTCACGGGAAAAGCATCCATTACCCTGACCTTTCCCCTTAAACACAAGAAACCACAGCAGCCTGCAAAGATGGATAAACCTTTCCTACGAGCTGCTCCGGGGAAAAGAAAACAGATGGACAGCTCTGTATAAACCAGACCCTGCCAAAGCACATGCCATCGGGCAGCTGAGAGCTGAAGAATCCTGAACGAGTCTCTCTTGAAGATCTTGCCATAAATGAGTTGCACGCATCCCCTACACTTTGGTACAAGGCTCCCATTTCTGTAGACATAATACACAAAATGTAATTATGCAGACTTTATCCATGCTGGCAATCTCATCCAAATGCAAGGCTTTTATGATAATTGAAGACTTTTGATTTATGGTTATATTTTTAAACTGCACATAATTAAGTGGTAGAATTCATTGTCATGCAGCATCGTGGAAGCCAAAAGCGCAAATGGGTTCAAATAGCAATTAAAGAAATTGAACGATCCATCAAGGATGATTACATACATGGATGCAGATATGACTTGGAGCTCAGGAAGTCCTTCGGCTGCAAATTGCCATGAGTTGGAAGGGCCATGGGAAGCCTCACATGGGGATTACTATGAGCTTATATCTTGCCCCAAAAATTTGCTACTGGCACCATCAGAGACAGGATATTGGGCTAGATGCATCGCTGATCTGAGCTAGCATGTCTATCCCAATGTCTACACAGCGAGACCTCTGACAGACCTACTCTGTCCAAAAGGCACAAGGCCAGCACAAGTCTTGTCTTGATTGTGGTTTAGGCCCACAAGATACAGACCTGACTTAAAAGTTGGGTCTTCTCCACCTAGAAGATGGAGCCAGAACCTCAGGTCAGGAGATTGGCACATCTTCCAAGCTTCAGTCCCAGGAAGGCCTTCAGAAGGGGAGCTTTCATTGAGGGAATTTTTCATAGACTGGGAAAAAAAAAAACAAAAACCTTGAAAAAACAAATGTTGCAACCTATTCTAGTTTTCCCATTGCCTAAGTTGGCACAAATTAAAAATAATAATAATTAAAAAAATATTGAGGGAGAACATGAACACCCACCTGGTTCATAAAACATGCAGCTGAGTTCCCAAAATTGTGGTGATGACCATGGTCAGCAAAGCCAAAAGGCAAGAGATGAGCTCCAGCCCGGGGAAAGCCGCTCATGGGTGATGATGCCCATGGGGAGGTTGCAGGATTCATCAGAAAGCTCCCTTCAAGAGGAAACTTGGCAGATATTTGGTCTTACCTTCTTCTGAAGATGGTTTTATGTTGTCTTAGGCAGACACGATGACCAAAGACAGTTTGATAGAGTTGTTCATGGACTTAGCGTAGCATTGGAGGAAAATCTCTCTAATTTCAAATAAAGTAACTGAAGAATGAATCAGCCAAGCCTCTTGCTGCACTGAATTAACACAGCCAAGAATAAATCAAGGGAACTACACTTTTTTCCTACCAGCTGAAGAGCTGCCTCCAGAGTATCTGTTCCAAAACATCTGGCCTGGAGGTGACACTTTGATGCACATTAGGTAGGGCAGAGCTCCAGACCTGCTTCCCTGTGAGAGGTGACTTACCAGGAAGCCCCCGTGGCACAGGGGAACTTCAGGTTACTCTCACAGGGGCACAAGATACCAGATAGAAAGGACTCCGGGACCTATCATAGGTGATCTGAAACACCATCACTGGTAGTGAAGATTTACTCCAAGGGATCAGTAAAGGAGAAAACCTAAGCATTATTTCTTAAGTGAAGCAATAGCTCGTGATACCTCATTGAATCAGAGATTCCTGTTCAATAAGCTCAAGTCTTTATAGGGCAACAAGAGATGTTCCAACCGGGTCCATGTTCCCACCTAGGAGATATGTCCATGGGGAAACTGGAAACTTGCTGGGAACAAGCTCAGCCTGACACCCAGATGGCTGGCAGGGTGTGAAGGCCCACCTTACATCAGGGTTGTGCATTTAGGTGCAGCTGGCAGCTCTCTTGGTGCTGGATGGGTCCTGATGATCCGGCTATTCATGCCCAGAGTAGCTTTAAAAGACCTACAGCTGTACTTAAGCAACTTGCAACTTCATCTGCGTGAAATGAGAAACTAGAAAATGAGGCTGATTTCTCAGCAGCCACCTCTGATTGGATTAATGTTGGTGTAGGAAGTAGAGACCCATGGATCTCTTGCTGGTTCCTCAGCATGGCACAAAGCCGATGGTGAATGGTTAGCAGCAGCAGGAGAACTGCACGTCTGGAATTTCCCAGGCTCGAGGACTCCTCCGGACACTGCAGACACTCTTGTGTAATGCAGACAGGATGAAGCAAATCAAGTCGGACCCAAATCTGGTGCTGCACGGGCATCTAACCCCTGCTGGTGAAAATTAGGTGCCTAAAAGCCTTCAAGATCTTTGACGGGATCTGTTCAGCCATGTAGGCATTGCGTAGGAGAACGGAGTGTGAAACCGAGCATATTTACAGACATTTTTCAGAGCTGTAAATGACGGCACAAAATAAAACAAAGGAAAATCTGTCCCTAGGATTCAGGCCTATGCCTTTTAGCGGTGGGGCATTTTGCAAGGACAGAGAGATGTCATAATAAAAATTAGCTCTTCAGCTTGTTCTTAAATGGAAATCAAAAGGACCATCATCTGAGAAGTCTCAACAGTCAGTCTCTGAAGATTTTCCACCCACCCACTGATTTTTTGGCCAGCTCAGGCCTGGAGAGGACTTCCCTGCAGTGTCTTGGGCTGGCTAAAGAAAGCCTTAACAAATAATGAATGTCAGGCTTGTGGGCACGGAGGGGTGGGATTTCACAGTACCTCCCTGCCATGAGCCTGGGAGCATGCACATCACATTAGGCAACACCAAAGGGGAGCTGACAGCGCTGGAGAGGCCACGGCACAGGGTGGCAGGGGAAGCTGGCAGGATCGGAGCAGAGATAACAGCAAACTCAGGTCACAGCTGAAGAGAAGCATCCGGCCAGAGCCTGGGCAGAAAGCAATAACACAAGTTGTGCAGGAGGGGATAAGGGATAGCAAAGAGGACGGGACACATTCAGGATCATGCCAGGGAGGTAAAAGTCACACTCTGGTTTAGGAGCAACCAGAGCTGTCTCAGTGCTCCCACCAAGCCCCGAAGAGACCCTCGGGAGGGCAATGAGGACACCAGCTGGTACACCAGCAGGCAGACCTGAGAAGCACCTGCATCATCCAGGACATCATCCTAAATCCCTGCATCTGTGTGCTCCACCATATTAGCTCTATTGCATCTTCCAGGTGAGATTGGGACATCTTTTCTCTGCCTCCATCCCAGCACCTGCACCACAAAGCTCTCCCAGGCTGGTCCCTGCAGCCAGCAAACCAGCCTCCTTCTACACAAACCTGCTCCAGCAAACCTGGGCAAGTTGCCCACCTGCACTTATGAGGGGCATCATCGGGACAGCCAGGCACTACTGTAAGGAGGCAGCCGCTGTAACAAGCACACCAAGGTGGGAAGCTTTTATTTCCCTTTTACCAGGGAGGTTTGGAGAGGCTGCTACAAGACAGAAGGTCAGGCTAGAGAACAAATGTTTTGGCAAGTGAACAACTGTGGCACGTAGCTGGAAACTAAGGTACTCCAGAAAGAGAAATATTTTAGGCTCACGAGAAGGCGGGCTTCTTTTCAACTTTCCAGACAGAGAATATTGGCCAGTTCACATACCATTTATCACCTTGCCTAGCAATTTACAACCTGCAGGATTTGCTCCCTTTGTTGCTCTTTTTAGCCCAACAAAACGCTCTTGGCTTTGTGTGCCTTGTTTGGGTGAAGTCACTGAGCACAGGTCAGACTGCTCTCTGCCCACACAGCAGTGCCTATGTCTGAGCAGCAGCCCCAATTTCATCACAACAAATTTGCTTAGCTAAGATTTCCTATTGCTGTTCATTGCAGGGAATCTAACTGCTTCTATATTTTCTATATTCATAGCTTCAAAACATCATCTGGATGAAATATCCCTGTTTGGAGAAGGAACAGGAGAGATTATTTTATGATTTTTTTTTTTATTTTTTTTTTTTGCGTGGTTGATTTCCTCTCCCATTTCTGATTTTATTCAACATGGGAGCGTGCTCAGGTTGTCGGAGGTGACTTGCTTCCCCATAGGAAGACTTTTTCAAAGGAGCAGCCTTTCCCCCAGGCAGCCAAGCTATGATTTTACCCACTCCTCTCCTGAAATCGATTGTACAGCCAGATCCCTTCAACCAAGAATGCGGACCTGTCAAATCTCAGGCACCGAGCAGGAGACGCGCAATCTGCTCTGACCCTCTGCTCCCTTCCAGCACGGCCCCTGTCTCTTGCCTTCACCCCTGCTCCATGACCCCGGGTGCCAGACACGGCCCCATTTCTCTTTGGCCAAGAACCCATGCCTGGTGCTGGGGGTGGCTGGAGAGCTGCTGGGGGCCCGCTCCCTGCTGCCAGAGGATGCTCAGTGCTCAGATCCTTTATGGCCATAGCTCTCCCTGGTATCCTTTCCCTCCTGGCATGTCCCGCAAGAATCTCTCCTTGCTGTATAACTGAATGCAATGTGGCCCCAATGCTGGAGAAACCTGAGATTGCTCCTCCACTTCATGGGCACTTGCATCCTGGCTTGCACAGGGTATCCCAGAAGAATGCAGCTGTCTCAGCCCAGGATCATTTTTGTAAAACAGGAGAGAAGATAGACTTCCCCTTGCTTTTCCTGATTTATTTATTCGTTGCATAATGGCTTGTCCACAAACATCCCAGCTTGGTTAAATCTTTGACATGTAAAACATTTCCAGAAATTCTTGCTGCCATCCAGCAAGAAAAATGGGTAGGACTTGGCTTTTTTCTCCCTTCTCTCTCCCTCTTAAAAGAAAAAAAAGAAAAAGGAAAGAAAAGAAAAGAAAAAAAAAAAAACAACTCCTCACTTTTCTTCAGTTTTCTTCTTTCCAGTGCGACTTTGTCTCTGGTTTTCCCGAAGCAAGGCACTCATTTATCAGGCTTGCGAGTTCTTACGCATTGGCAGACTCCGCGGCTTTCCGCTTGGCTCAGGGCTCCCAGCCACCATATGGAACGAGTTGCACGTTTTCACTCCTTATCGCAGTTTAAGATGGAAATATTTCCTTGATTCTTCTCGGGGTATTTCTGCAATTGCACACATGCTGGGAGCATTTAACCCTGACATTGCTGATGAGTAGCTGTTCCTATTAAAATGCCATCAGAGATTGAACTGAAAATCTTTTACAGTGAACTACGCCAGCAGTTTGATTCTGTTCCTGGTTACAAATAGTTCCTTTAATAGTTTTGGAGTTACATGCATATAACAGAGAAGAATCTGGCTAGCTGTCTATTTGTCTGTCTGCTTGTCTCTCTAAAGAGACAACTTTGTCTCCGTCTCTGCATACTGATCCAGTTTTGCTGTAGGGCTGCTGTAGCTGCGATAGTCTAAGGAGGTAAGAAAAGTCATTCCCTCTCCATCCTGCCTTTATTAAGCTAGATGACAGCTGAAGACAGACAATTTTTCAATCACAGATCTTCCATGCACGAATCTTCCACTGCTATGCATCTAGCTGAGGGATTTTTTTTTCCTCTCCCATGCAATACCATGCCTCATACTCAGGGTTTCTTCCAGCACGGGCTACCAGTTGGCACAGTAAGTGGAGTGTGAGCCTATCAAAGTCAGGATCAAGGCTCAGAAGGTGTAAATATGTGGCTGGCCCAGCACAGGTGAGAGGAAACAAGGTGGGTAAGATCTCTCCTTGTGCTCTCTCAGCAGGCGCAGCCCCATTTTCTGTTTTAACATCACTTCCAAAGTCTTTCCTCATTAGATATTCAAGCCTAGAAGCTCTTGGCATGTGCTGAGTTACACATCTTGGGTAGGCTGAGAAGGAAGGATGAAGTCATAAATCCACTTTCAGAGAAGAGCTGCAGCAAAATTTAGAGCCTAAATATGCCGCAAGGTCTATTTTTTGCTGGGTGCAAACTCCAGTGCCTCTTTTTCAGCATCTCTGTCAAGGAGGTAAAGAACTTCCACAATTTCCCACAACAAAGGCTGGAGTCTGGATCCATTCAGCCTGCATTGCGTTTGACAGCTTGCTGCAGCTCAAATACAGCACTGGGTTCTGCAAGAACGGACTTTTCACACTTGTCAATTCTGCTTTTCTCATTGCGATTTCTGGACGTGTAAAGACTAGCTCATTATTATCCCAAAACTCAGTCCACAGTGGTGGAATACATAGGCCTTCAGTGGGAAGGGAATTGAATATGACTTTAAGGTTAAGGAAGGCTGCCAGAAGGTTGTAAAGCAATATTATAAATGGAAAGCAGGATCTGCTGTCCATACATCTGAGATTGGATATTAGCCCTCCATTTGGTTATTCTTGGTCAAGTTCAATATTTTCTTCCATCCTGGCTTTACCTGCTCGTATGGATGGCCTTAGAGCATTTCAATACGAGCACCGTGTTTTTCCATCAAGTTCGACATTGGCTCCATGCTGATTTCCATGTTAGATCCTCTGGTTCCAGCTTTAGCACCACAAATTCCAACATGAGCTTCAACTGCCAGAGCTTCACCTTTACTGAATGTACATCATCACCAGTCCCCAAAGTTGCTTAAAATAAAGGTTTCCATGGAAATAATTGCTGATACTAGTCTAGGTGTCTTTTTCTTTTCTGTGCCACATAGCAGGAAAAGAATCAATCCTTGTTTTTCAAAATCCTACTGTAGTTGAAAAACAAAATGCCTAAAAGATTGAGAAGGGGGAGGGAGTCTGATACCCACATCCAGGATCCAAAGTTGCCAGTATCTGAAGCCCCAATAAGGCTGCAACAGGGGCAGGAAGGTTTTGGCTTCCCTATGCATCCTGCTGCCTCATGCTAGATGGGACAGACGCACACCATCCATTTGTCCACCCACATTTGCTTGGATCCAGAGACCGGGGAGGTGGGCAATACCACGACCTCCATAGGATGTGGAAGATCTGCTCATGTCCAGAGAGAGTCACTGAGGTTGCTGGCAGAAGACAGGTTGGGTAGAGTTGGTCAAACTCATTGAAGGACTAGAAAGCAGGAGCCCACTTGTGCCAGCCTTTGAAGCACATGCACAACCTGTGGCAGATGCAACTGCACAGCTTCCCCCTTTGGATCAGAGCTGCAGGAAAGACTGCCTATAAATAGCCAAATCTGCGCTAGCCAAAAGGATCTTTCCTTCTTTTTGCTTATAACTAAGGAATCCGTGAGAGCACTGCAATCATGGACCATGTTGGACACTCAGGCAAAGTCATAGGAAACAAAATACAAAACCATTTGCCAACTCTTAGCCTCCATTATGGGAAGGCCAAGTGTTTTAAAAGTCTCATTCAGCTTCCCATGCGCTTGTCTCCTCCCACACCAGCCTGCCCAATGCAGAGAGGCAGTTGACCAAAGGGAGATTTTAGGTCGAGTCCCCAGAAAGCAAATGACATTTCCCCATCGTGGTAAGCCTGGAAAGGCACTACGTTAGCAGCATCCAAGTCAATTTTTTCCTTATGTTCAAAGGAAACCCTAGATATGTTTTCTAATTTGCTTTCCAGCCCTTTCAACGAACAGGAGGCTTTGAAAACATGCTCTGAAATCTTTCTCTTCATCTCAATGCATCTGTTCTTTTTCTCCTCCATCTGGACAGCAGCACAGGTACACAGACTAGACCCTGGCCTTTGGCCGACATGATCTTTCCAAGTAATTTTTGGACATGGAATGAAAAATCAGTCCAAAGCTCACTCTGTAAAGGAGTTTTATTTCCATTTGAGTCCACTTCAAGGGGCTGCAGTGGGCTTAGTTTTGTTATTTTTGCTCCCCCTTCCAAAATAATAATGCAGCGATCCAAAGTTTGGATTTAGAGGATAATCAGACTGTTGCTGAAAAAAAAAAGTGAATAGCAGAAGCCTCTTCACTTGCATCTCTAGAGCTGAGTCTTGACCACTAATTGAACATGAGATTAAGTCCTCACTGTCATTCTCTAATTCAGAATCAGACTCCTGGACTGACTTCAGACGACTGCATTAGGCAGAAATAAGAGCTGGCATGGCCAAGTGATGCTGTTATCCATCCAGCAGGAATAGCAGGGCTCTGGAAGTGACACTGGCTGGTGCAGAGCAAGCACCTCCGGCAGGCAAGATGTGACTGCTGACTGGGAGAAGGTTCATGGAGTGAGGACAGAGGGCTGAAGTTGACTCATCCAACACAAGTAAACTTCAGCAATTAAAATATGGTAAGGGGAGAGATGCTGTTGGCAAGAGGGGATGAAGAGATAACCAATAAGGCATCACACCAGGTGCTTCAGGAGGGAAAGTATCATATTTACCTGCAATTAAAAAAAATAAAACAAAGACACCGGTCCAGGAAGAACATTTCTGCCAGCTTCCTGAATGATCTGAGTTCACTGAGCAGGTGCTTTGGCTTCTTGCAAAGCTCTTTGGAAACTCATGGAAGGACCAAGCGACCCAAAGTGTGGGAAACAGAAGGAGCCAAGGCATCCCAGCAGGGCAGCACCGCAAGGAGGTTGGAAAGAAGAGTCCTGAGATTAGTTTCACCATCCTCTGCCAGGCACCTTCTTGCCAGTCAGTGGCAGTGACAGCATTGCCCAGGGGTAGAGGGGCAGGACTGCTGGGTGCACAGCTCCATTTCCTCCAGGAATGCTGCCTGGAAAGGCATGAAAGAAGAGGGACTGGGGAAGGCAAGGGAAGTGAAGCGCATCCATGCGTGGATGAGAAAGTTGGAGCTTGCTTTTCCAAAATAAATGCTTGGTCTTCCAAGCCTGACATCCTGCCTCCCCAGGCAGCCAGGACGTGATTCCTCCTGTGTAACGAGCCACCCTTTCCACACACAAAAACACTGCTCGGTTCTCCCTTTTCAGGGCCGGATGGGAGGAAGTCTTTACTGATGGATTTGAAGTGGCCGATGTCTTTTCCAGTCATGGTATCATCCCCCTGTGCAGAATGCATAGCCCCTGCCATGACCTAGAATTAGAAAATTTCCTCTTTAAAGGCAGTTTATTTTTTATTATTTTATATTTTATTTCCCCCTCTGAGTTAGGGAGGGGCATAAGAGGAAGAACAACGTTGGGATTTTAGCACAGATTAACAATTTCAGATCTGGATGGAGCTAGTTCTGCTCAAACATCAGTTGCCTACTCATTGACCTATGCAGCAGCAAATTTTTGCTGCTAGCTCCCCTTTCCCACAGTGTAGTGCCTGCTTTGCAGAGAAGCTGTTCATGCATCACTCTTGTTGATGTCCAGGCTGAAAACTAATGGTTAATCCTAGTGCAGCAAGATTGGGAGCCAGGTCCTAGAAAGATTTTTGTGGTTTCTACACACAGCCACCCCCTTTTTTTTTTTCTCATGAATTGCCTTTCAAGTTCATCTCTGATGGCAAGCAAAACCAAAAATATTTCAGTTCTTGAGTCTGAGAAGCAAAATTTTCTCTCTCAACTCACTTGGGCCAGCAAGAAAGTTTCCAAAGATTTTCCTAGGTCTCTTCCCTAAGGAGATAGCTAAACTATCCACGGAAAGTGGCCCTTTTCTTGCATGCATGCTGAAATGTTTGCTTTGGAGGGCAGAGGAACATGCGTCAGTGGGATGGAAAATGGGGATTATATCTTCTTACGTAGCTGTTGGTCTCCTGGGTCCACCTCTTTGGAAGAGTTAAGCAGGTGCACAACTGAGCTCTCCTCAGGAAAATGAAGGTGCACAGAGAAGTGTGTGCTGGACCAAGAATGAGAACAGTGCTTGTGAAGATGCCGTAGCACAGGCTCTGTGCATGCCCAAAGCCAGAGGCTGTGTGCACTACTTGCCAGCTTGTGCAAGCACATGCGGTGATCTCACCTCGCTTACTTTGTGGCCAAAGGCTGGATGGTCCCCTTGAGGTCAACGGATTTAAACCAATACTTGATATTAATAACTAGGGTATTTTACTGGCCTAAAACTTGGTGAAACAAGTGCTCCCTAAGGCCGGTCTTTGGGCAAAGAGCGTGGCTGTACAGAGGCCATCTCCCTCCCCTGTGCACCTCGCCAAGTGCAGGGAAATCAGAGAGTCTGGCACTCTGTTGGTCCTGCCTGTCCAAGCCCGCGTCTGCTGGAAAAATTCTCCACTCCATCACCTAGCACTCTTGCCAGTCTCTGTAGATGTTGGTTTGGAAGGGATTTGCCATCTGTGGGATGAACCGAAAGAAAACAGCAGCAGACTCTGAGGAACTATAGGAGCCCAAGCAGGGCCACATCCGACAATCTGCAAGCTGTCCAAGGTTCCTCGTCCCTTCCAAATGGGAGAAGGAGGAAGAGGAGGAGGGTGTTTTTTTTTGTTTGTTTTTTAATTGTCATCGTACATAAGTGAACTGTGACAATTTCTCTGATACAAGATACCAAGATCTTCAGGATATTTTCTTAAGGAATCCATTATTTTTCTACTACCATCAAGTCTATGGCTGGCTTATACCCAAAAGAAAAAGAAAGTCCTAGACCAAAGGGCTTCAACCAAAGCTTTTTTTTTTTTTCCCCCCAGGGCTATACATGCCATTTACCTCACTGATGTCTTGATCCCAGTATATTTGGTTCAAAAAGGCCTGTCTCCATTCTGACTAGCAGATTGAGCTACTGCCTGTCCCAGAGAATGGAAAATTTGTCCTTGGTTTGCAGGGGTACATTGAGCTCCTGGGTGTTGAACCACAGTCAGCCCCAGGGAAAGCCTGAAGCCAGCCAGTTTCCTTTTGTAGCACTGTATCTCTCTTTCTATTTCTAGTGCACTTTAAAGTACAGGAGGCTGTGTGCTCCTTATCGCTCCCGAGCAGCGCTATAGCACAAGAAGTGAGCAGCAGACAGTCCATGCCAGAGTATGAGTTAGGAAACAGGCCCAGGGGGGATTTTTGTTGTTGCTGCTGTGATTATTAGAGATTGTTGTCTGTCTCTGCTTTAAAACAATGCAAACACCACCGAGAGCAAATATCAGAATAGAAGCTGATTTTCTGTTGATTCAACCACCGTTTCTCACCCTTATTTATCTTCCTGTCTAGGCATATGACACACTCAGAACAGAAATCTGACTCCGTGCCAAGGCCATGTGTTCACCCAAAGCCAGCTCACTGTCTTGCACTGCCGGGACATCCCCACAAGCATGCCCTTCATCCATACTTTTGCTGCAGAACAAAACCTGCAGTGTCTCTAGGAGACAAAAGTTATGCACTTTGCTTAAAGAAGAGCATGGGTGGGTAGCATAGATTCCACACCTACGTTTTAGATTGCTAAAATTAGATGGCAAGGACAAGCTCTCCTGGACACAGAACTTTCAGCCACAAGCAAAGCGTATTTGGGGATGGATTTACATGACTATGTGATGTGAAAGTTCCCAAATCTTTGATGATTACCGTGTTTGTAAGAATCACTTCTATCAGCTGGATGCCAGTACAAGATGCAGCTCACAGGCTAGCTCCCCCAGAAAAGGTGGTGCTCTGCTCCACATGGACCTGCTTTACCCAGGTCTTGGTTCATGACAGCACCATATACAACTAGCTGTTGCTGGAAAAAGCCCCTCTCAGGTGGCATTAGTGTAGTCAGGACAGGTGTACAGGTAGTTCTCAAGAGGGGCTGACTGCCAAAATATATCCCTGCTACACCTTATCATATCCTGTCCCACTCTTCTCATACTCCCACCCATTTCCTTCTGAGCTCCCCACACACAGTTCTTTTTCTATTAAAAAAAAAAAAAAAAAAAAGTCTTAAAAGCATATAAGGCCTTTATGGCCATGTGGACAACTGCCTCTACCATTTTACTGCCCTACCAAGGAATAAATTTGTCTGAAGTTCCTTTTTTACTAATGTCCAGACCATGGCCTCAGTGGCTTTGGACCTCCACCCTAATACCAGTGTAAGCCATTTTCCTCCTACATAGGGAAAAAAACTGTTTAGGTCCCCTGCAAGAGAATAATTTGGCCCTGAACTCATCCTGATTGCCCCAGGCCATAAATCAGCATCCTTCCTCACAACCACAAGAAATGTAGTCATTAATTGAGGTGCGCTCACCTCAAACACTTTCCCAAGGTGGTGTATCCACATCCTGTCTTTAAGTCCCCAGCTGATGCCTTTGTAAAGGGAACCCCACCGTCCCACATGCTTTTTCAGGCTATGTTTTTCCCACTCACTGCAGCCTTCGAGCTGAAGGCATCCAAAGATTTGTGATTTATGCAAAGACTTCTAGTCCAACTGCCAGAAGTAGGTGGGCATCTTGTGTCTTGAGCAGAGCAGCAGAGCCTATAAAGCTGCCTGTCTGCCTCCCTCCCTTTCAGAGTCATCTTTGAAAGCTGCTCCTCAGAGCGAAATTCCAAAAGCTACAACCTTATCAAAGGAGAGGGAACACAGCCCAGTCATTGTCTTTCCCCAGAGAACTCAGAATGACATAAAAACAAAGAAACTCAAAGATTACAGAAAACTCTGATGTATTTGAAAGACAGCACATACAAGGCTGCATATTCCAGACCCTTGGGCATTGCAAGCTCCAGGGATGCTTGAACTTCTCAGTTTTGCCAACATTAATAAAACATAGCTCGAGGTCATTGCTCGCACCAAAAGCCAAAGCAATCCAACTTCTCTTATCTGTCCTCCTGTCTTTATCCAGCTGGGAAACACTGCATATTCATTTTGCCATCTCTCAGACATCGTCTTGTTATTCATCAAATCATAATGTGGAGGCTCCAGTGCCTCAGAGTGCTGAGCACTTGAAAGAGGAAGGTTGGATTTATCAGAGCTGTGGTTTTCCACTCGTGGCCACCGCTCCCTGGGGGCTCCCTGGCTTACGTTCAAAGGGAAGGGCTGGTGCCGCTGGGCCTGAAGCTCACCCCTGCATGAAGATTTTCAGAGACCCTGGAGAGAAAGGCGATCAAAACAGTGGTGGTGGAAGAGAAAAAGAGGGGTTCTCAGAAGAGAAGCCACTCAGAAGATACAGACAGGAGCAGAGATGGGATCATAGTACAGACCAGCTGTATCTTTCATTTCCAGTGAAATTTCTGCTCCAAGGGTCCAGCCTGGATGGGCAGACAGGACTTCCAGAGCAGGCCTACAAAGCCACAGCACATGAGGCAAGATCCTCAGCTCTCTCTGAACTCACACTCCCTTTAAAAACCTTCCTGAGGGCCAGGCCCCTGGATTGTAACCTAACTTTGCTGCTTGTCGCATGATTCCCAGCCAATATGCCAATGACCCAAAGGGCTGCTCACCAGTTGCTGCATCTCTGGCTCCCAGATTTCAGCTCCATCAGCCAACCCCCAGGAGAACTTTCCCTTTCCTCGCATGAGGAAGCTCAAGTCCCACAGGGCATCTGGGAGGTCCCCAAAATAATCTCCAGGTAAAGCAGCCTGCCCTCCACCCCACTGAATTGCTCCCAGCTGCCAGCAGGGAGGAGCAGGAGTCACCAATGTTGGTCAAGTAAGTAGCTGAATGGACTGACAGACAGATGGACAGATGTACATACCTACAGTAGGTTGGATGCATGGAGAGAATTGCAGTGTCTTGAAGGAAGTATTTGTCCCACAGCCCATTCAACCTCATATTCAGTTTCTCCCTTGCTAGGCTAATAACCTCACTCGGGGAACCTTATCAAGTGCTGTTTGACAATCCAGTAACTATATTGCATCCAGGAGTTTTTTTGTCCTGCACTGTAGCAGCAATATCTCCAAAGAACTCCTACTAAAGCGAGGGCCACTCCTCATAAATCACACACACACTTCGGCTGTCTCTTAATCAATCTTCCCCAGGTGTTCCCTCAGTCAGCCTTACCATGATCTTCTTGAGGCTTTTTCTGGCAACTTTGATTTTTATTTATTTTTTTCTCCTCTAAAGCAACTGCCTGGCCATGTTCAGGGTCTTTGGATTTATTTTATTTGCTTTCTTGCTAGGTTTTACCACCTTTCTCTTTGCAGAAGCCTCATTTGTCCATAGATACCTTCTTCAAATACCCACTGAGGTTGCAAC